CACACACACACACACACACACACACACACACACACACACACACACACACACACACACACCTCATAATCGTCTCAAGCCCACTCTTGTTTTCTCTTCTTCAGTTTGCATCTTCTGGATACTTCCGAACGAGATATTTCCGCACAGTGCCCGTGGACCTGGGTTTATTGTGGCAAATACCATCGCTTTCACAGGCTTTTTCATTCACGCCTACGTCTTCCCTGCTCTACTTGTGAGTTCACATTGTGTTTGCGTCACCGAATTCGGTAGAAGTCTAGTTTAACCCTTCATTCGGAACTTATTCGAGCTACTGTGCACATTCGGGGTCTAATTTTAGCTAGTAAGACTTTAAACGACATTTACAGCACAATAAAGTCATAATATAAGTTCCAAAGATTAGAGGTGTTACAAACACAAAAAGAAGGAGAGAAAAGTACGATAAATACTTGACATGAAAGAAGGAGCAAACCACACCAGAGCACCCGCCAGCCACCCACATTCAGGGTCTCATTCGGATTCTATCTAGACAGGTGCTTTGTTGTTGATTCGCTGAACGTGTTTGCGGGGTTTGTGGTTCTTTTTAAACTCAAAGATGGTTGGATTGTCAAAGGTTGAACATGAGCGTATTTGCATAGCACTGGTGCCTGACCTGGGTATGTGGTGTAGCGGTTACTCTCTTTGCTGTTGCACAACGGAGAAGACCCGAGTTCGAATCCCGCGCGAGGAGAATTATGCTTAAAGTATCTCCGTCTTTCTGCTGGGACGTCGTATTCCTCTCAGCCTGGGTTCACTTTGGCAAGTGGGGGCGAAGCCTGCATCATAAATAATATAAATTGTGTCGATATGGGCGTAAAACACCAACACTTATTTATAAAGATTAGCAAGAACACACATTACGTTACAATTTGGCTTATAAATGATATTTAGATAAAAATTGACTTACCTCTATATTAACAAGTGTAACAACACTGCTACTGTTCCCGGCTTTAAATTTCAACATTTTCACGGCTTTGAGCTGTCTTCCATTAACTCTGCTTTCCCTGCAGTGAAATAAATCACGTTGAAAGCTCTGAATTTCAGTCGCAAAATAAATCGGGAGCTCGTATAAAATGAAACGGAAATCTTATGGAACACGAGCATTAATCGTAACAATTTGGGGCTCAAAGAAAATTTGTGGGGGGGTTTTCAATCCCCTTGAAAGTTTTAGGAAAAATTCCCAAAAGTCAGTCGTTCTGTGCCAATTGACGACTGTGGCGCAGGCGGCATCAAACTTGAGCTTCTCCCGGAAGGTTAAGATTTGAATCCCAAAATAGCTGTTCAAGTTTATTGTCCTTCCTCGTAAAACATTTCCTCTTTTTCCTTGCTTCTGTTTGAGGAACGAGAGTGCCCCATTTGCATGTACATGTATAGGTTTAACGCCCTTGTCAACACTTTTAGGTTATTTAAGAGGCGGGACCTCCGAGTTCATGTCCGAAAGGGCCGTGGCTCCCTTTGAAATGAACCATTAGGTGCGTAGAAGGGCCTCGACAACAAGACACTATACAAGAAGAACGATAGAAGATCGTGAATATTTCCAGAAATCAGGGAATGGTGCAAGAGTGAATTGATATGGGCGAGAAAATAGTGAGTGGTGTTACAGGTACAGTCGGTTTTGATAGGTATCTAAACGCACATTGCAGTAATACCGCTGTTCTACAAACAGAACAAATGTTTAATGTTATACTTGATATGGAGAATTGTGTGTTTCGAGCACTGAAACCAAGCCACGAGAAATATATAAAGGGATAAAAACTAGTTATCCACTTTTAAAACATCGTTCTGATCATAAACGATATCCACCAGTCGGTTATGTTAAAAATATACGGGTGCATTACCATGCCCTACAGCAAGCTCTAAACGTTTGTCAACCATTATTACTACAGCAGACCCAAGAACACTTCGAAACATTCTCGGCTTCGCCCAGAAACATAATGAATAGGCTGCGGATTACACATGCCACAACACTAACAAACTGACTAGACTGTTCGCTGCCTATTGCCGGGTACCTATTCCCACTTGGGTGAAGTGAGGAAAATACCTGTAAAGTATCTTCCCCAAGGACACAATATCAAGCCCATAACGGGATTCGAAACCATAACCTTACAGCTAAGAGTGTGTGAGCCTAATCACATGAACAGCGCCGCCAGTGCACAGTAGTCCAACTTGAATAATAGATTTTTATAATATGTAGTATTGTATGCTGACTTTTGAATATGCTGCAAAAGTTTCCTATCTAAAATTACAACTAAAGCCTGAATGTCTATTCTATTATTCCGTTCCCAGGACCTGATGGGATCCTACACGTTCTTTCTCTACACCGTCCTGAACGCCTTGATGATTGTCTTCTGTGTGTTCCTCATGCCGGAGACGATGGGCAAAAGCTTCCCAGAGATTGCCAAGTCCTGGTCCAAGACCCCGCCCCCTGAAGACTTGATGGAACCCACCCATCATCAAAACAAACATG